AGCTCATTAGAATAACAGAATAATTTAAAGTATTTAGACATGAACATGTTCAGCAGAGCCCATTATCACTTGAAGAATAAATAAAATAGTGACCAATGGTTTAAATCAGTGATTCTCAATCTTTTTAGGACCGCGACCCAAATTTTCTTCCAAAAATCTATCGCGACCCCCATAGTTTTACATATCAAAAAAGTAATTTCAAAAAACAAATTTTTTTATTATTTATTTACTACTTTATAATAATAATAATTGTAATAATTCTTATGTTACTTTATACTTCTATTATAGTTCTATAGTCTATACTCTATAGTTCTATACAATTTAAAAAAACATAAATTTCTTACAATCTGTATAATTAAAAAAAATTCTCGCAACCCACAGTTTGAGAAACGCTGGTTTAAATAATAATTAATTTATAGTAGGTACATTTATTAATGCCAGTGTTTGAAATAACATTTTTAAATAATTATTATACTGAACATATAGCTTCATATTTTTGTGTGCAAGGATCTCAGTCTTGGTAGCCATTACTTGTCACAGTATTATATACGTATTCCAAATTGTTAGTTATATTTCCTAAAATAAACACAGAAATACTGAGAATCTGAACGAAAAATTCTTCTCAATTTTTATTAAGTAAAAATAATGATAAAAGATGAGTTACAACTGTCGGACTACAACACTAGTTAAACACCATTTTCGCTTCTAAGCAAACTACAACAAACGAGTCATACACTATATTAATACGTAAGTATTGAGTATGAACAATGACTAATGTTAACTATACATCAATACACCGATCGATTCACTAACTAACACTAAACAGTCACTATATAATAAACGTGACGTACCTATATATGTATTTATTATTTAGCATTATAAATTCGTGATATCTCATTAATCAAATGAAGTATAATAGTTATTATTTTAAAAAGAAATAGTAGTATGGAAGTAATTATAGTCAATAAATTGTTCACACGGTTTGGTGGAAAACTATTAACACTGACATAAAAACAAAACGCCAAAAAAAATGTAGGAATGGTTTTTAATTCAAACAAAACGCAACGTTTATTTTCTCATTAAAATTTCATATCCGACGATCGTTTGCTTAAAATAATATTAATCGGATGTACATTTCAATATATACATATATACTAGGAGTTTTGTTTGATAGAGAATGTAACATACATACTATACATTTACATATTATAATACTCGTGTGAATAACATATATATATATATATGCGTATAGGGTGGCACACATTAGACAATTCGATAATTTCAAAAGGAAACCGCCGCAGCCGACACGATTGCGTGTCGTGTTGGCGTCAATCCTTTTTAACGCAATTCAGTTCGATCGCAATAACATCAGCAACCAACAGTAACTCCTATAACGACTGCACACAATAATATCCATCAATATAATACGAAATTCGACATGGCTAATGATTGTTTCAAACGTTGTATAATAGGTACATTATATAATGTGTATATGCTGCGATCCAGCCATCGTAATAAATAATAACACGTACTGACGAATAATAAAACGTAGGTCCCAGACCCCAGCATATAAAATAGAAGCACGGGCTTCGACGATCACGTGTTATTTGGTAGTAGTTACCAACGTCGTTGGTTCACAAAGAAATTTTGGTATATGCTCGTCGAAATCATTGTGCTAAAACATCTGGAAAGGTGTCCCGTGTTTGAAAATCCCATATACGGGGTGAACATACATACGCAGAAGACGCGATTCCTTTGCACCGACAAACTGCGATTTCTTTTTGTCCATTTATTTCGGTCAACTCTCCTCCACGAGACGTTTTCGTATACAGGCACAACAATACACGTTAACACGCACGATGTAGGCAGCATACACAATCTCGTACACAAAAGGCCTTTTGTATGTGGTCCCGAAAAATATTAACGTGCGTGAAAAATGTTCGTGCGAGTCTTGAGTGAAAAAACGTATACACACACACACACTAACGGCCCTATAAGTATGAAGTAAAAAATTCGATTCCTCGATGAAGGTGAATTAGACCCTATAAGTATGATGACGACATTGTCGGTTACAGAGGGCGAAAAATAAAATAAAACCAAAACGACTTCATTCTCCATTATATATATATATATATATATATATATATACAGCTATAGGGGGCTAAAATACTCAATAAACATCACCTCCTCATACAATTCCGATTGATGTGACACCGACGAGGAGGTTGGTTGTAAGACATAATTGTGTCTTACGAGGTATTTTAAAACGAGTAGATAGGTAGTTCATGTATTTCGAATGTCTATTTAATTTGAAATGACTGAAAAGTGAAACTGTAAAAAAATCTGTAGACATTTGTCAAATTTATACACGGCTATTACTACTGATTCCCTTGACAACACATTAAATATAATATGAAAGAATATAAAGAACAAAACAATCACTGTAAAAATATTAAACATTATATTATATAGTATAGTCCACGGTAGGGCTCAAGTCGTTCCAAAAGAAATGGATCACCGCCATGTCAACGCCGCAGAAAACCACCCTTATCCCAAACGTGTTTAGAAAAATTAATACTTCTCCTGGGTGGCCGTTTCATCAATTTTATTATTACCTACCGTAGTACATAAACGAAAAAATAACGAAATATTTATAACTTGCCTTTATCTTTTGAAATTCATGGGACGTCATGCAGTTAACCTAAGAATATGTGCATTCACTGTTTTATAATACATACATAACGTTTTACTCGTTTTTCCAATCATATGGAATAACGATAAGAAACCATAGATTAGTTGTATTAAAACGTTTAAGAAGGGTCAGAGTTAAAAATCATTCCTAAATCCTTATACCTACGAGTCTATGCATGGCAATTGTTTTATATCGAACAATTAGTACAATAACCTATAGCACAATATACATATATTATATATTGTAAAATATAAATCGTATCTATTTATAATTTATAAAGCATTAACGTCATTGCAGTATTTTTTGTTTGTGTTGGTCATATTTTAGTAGTTGAAAACGTTTTTATAGGCGAGGTTTTATCTGTATAATTATATCCTCATATTTAATACTTTTCCTCTATAATTCTGTCCTCTTGGCTCTGGTAATAAAATATGATATAATAGCTAATATGTATTATATTCTAACAGAGCTTAAGATGTTGATTCGCTGGTAAGCGTATACCTTGTAAACGGAAAAATCGATCGCGGTAATTTTTTAAAAATTATTGTATTATTCAAGTTAGATTTTTACCAAAGAAAAATTCGAAAAATTTACAGAAAATTGAAAGATTTGCAAAAAACTGAAAGTACCTACTTTTTTAAATAGGATTTTTTTATAAACACGCGAACACACGCCTGTACTTGCTGAAATTTGGCATACACCTAGACTACTGATGATAAAAATACTCTGAACCATTCTCAAAACAAAATTTAACCATATAACGTATAGTACAGAGTATACAAGATTAATTTGTGAACTGTTACATCAATTAAGTAATTTTAAATGTTAAATTATTATTGTGTTATATGACATTTAATCTAATAATTCATTTAGGGCTTAGCAAATCTTAGAAGCTAATGTTTTTTAAATAAGTAACCAAATTTACATAATTTCCCCCCCCCCACCACTATAAAAGTATTTAATCAGATTATAATAAAATGTATAATAAAAATGCAATAAGCATTTATGAATCATAATAATATGAATAACATATAAATTAAAGTATTGTAATTATTATCAAACATGAATATTTCTAAAAGAGTAAAAAATAAAAAAAAAAGATAATGAAAAATTGTAATTGAAAATAATCTTTAATTACCTAAACACAAAATTGTTATTTCTGAGATGAGACGGAGTAGGCCAATAATACACGCTGTGGGATAATGATACTAATTAAATGTAAATGAAAATCATTTTGGGTAGGCTTGGGAGCTATTTGAGACGCATAACATTTTGATAATTTATTTTACAAAACTCACACATAATTTTATAATTATAATATAATTTGTAATTTTTACACCCGCATTGGGCGTGCTCGCAGAGGACGTTAAAATTCAGCATTTGCGATTTACACCAAGGTGATGGTGTACTGAGCACAACGACTGAGATTTTAAATGTCTGTGAATATGAATTTGGGTAGAACAGCGAATGAATTATTCATATGCCTTAAAGTACTTTAATAATAATAACGTAGATGATAATATTATTTACAAAAAACAGTCACACCGGCATAATAATATAACAGCAAACCGAGTCCGTTATTATCTTTGGGGACATTCGAACGACGTTCTTCACATACTAAGATGACGTACGGTGAATTCTGAGGACGAAAAGTATGTTATGAATGCTAGTGGAGCTGTACACGTTTTGTGACTGTAGAATTTTTGTACAACAACGTTTAACTCGGTTCGCGGGTCATACTCGGATGTTAGGTTCAAACATTCGTTTCAGTAATCCGAAAAATTATTGATGATACACACCAATAATAATCAATAAAGCTGCAATCTGTATAACTGTGATAGAACCGATTAACAAGTTTGTTTTCGGGGCACCTCCAGAAAAGCAACAAGTGTGAAAGACGGGGAAAGGATGTAATGATTTTAATCTTACACTTTCGAAAAGGTCGACAGTCGACAAGACTAGCAATACTTGATATACTTAAGTCACGTGAGCCAACAAAAACGACTTTTGACCTTGGCGGTTTACTGATAGGTATTTTACTTGTGGGTCAAATCTCGCGTTGTGCAGCCGCCGGGAAATAAATCGTTACATGCACAAATTACAACAATGGACAGCGTAGGTGCGCAAAAATAAAAAATAGCTTTGTTCATCGTCATAATGAATATATCGGTTTCCGACACAAATAACCCACTCAGGTGGTTCGAAACTCAAATGCACTCAACTCGCGATCTCGTTGATCCGTTTCTCTAACGGCGATTGAATAAGTTTATTACAATTTAAACTAAATATTACACCCGCCTAGACTTACTTGACTAATTTCGTCGTGTCTGATGTCGCGACGATCCGTCGTTGTCGGTAATTGTCATGCCAACGGGGGTTTCTCCACGAACAAGACGATCGGTCAAAGGCCGAACGTTTATGAAACCGCCTCGGGACGGCTGGAAACGACAAAGGTAAAACAAAAAAAGCCCGACCGCGTGACGATAAGTAGAACGGCAAATCACTAACGACCGATGTAGATAACGAATTGACGATCGATTGTAATTTATAACAATATTATTGTCGGACACCGATCGGCAGACAATCGCGCGGAACAGACGGCGGCAAACGCGTAGACGAACTGTGGTGGTTGCACGGTCGTGGTCGACCGGCCGGCGCGATACGTGTGACGCGGTGCGGTCGGTGCGGACGAGATCGGAATTCGGCGGTCCCGTCGTCGTCGGTCGGATCGGGTGCGCACGCGCACGCGCACGCACCGACCGCAATCGCACACGGTCACACGCACGCGTTTCCCCCCGGTCCCCGCTCGGCCGAACCGCAACGAGTTTTTCTGTGCATGGTGTGGCGGCGGAGGAAACACAACAACCGGCCACGGTCGACTGTTGAGTAGTGGTGGAAGAAGACGACGGGCCGACGGACGGACGCTCTCGCACGCGCATCATCCTCGGCCCCAGTCCTCTGGTTCCTCAATCTTCAGTTAGCGGCTTAGCGCGTAGAATATTCGTCTGTCGCGTCCGTCGCCGACGACGTAATCGTAAATTTTTTTCGCGCGACTTCAAATGCCATAGCTCGGTTCAAAACGTAGAAAACATGGAATGCTGAAAGCATACCCTGACAATATTCTTACCTTTAAATTTGGTATAGGGTAGAATCACTTTGTAGCGTTAAAAACAACCGAGTGAAATCGTCCCGTGTGTCGGACGGATCGCGTATGACGACGTCATATTTTCATCTTAATAACAACGAAAAACGTTCGTATTCTCGGGCGGCACACCGGGTGTTCAGTGTTCACACTGTTCACAGTTCACCCGGAGGCCGCCGCCGCCGCTGCTACAGGTGGATAATATTATCACCACATCGCGCACAACGTATAATAATACAATATACATAATAATAATATTATTTTAGTGTACATAGGCATTTCTTTCTTTATTCATTTCTTTAAACATTTTTTCGATTTTTGTGTACAAACGTCGCCGCGCCCCCGATTTTCTAGCTCCAAACCCGCGACTGCATCTGTTAATATAATATTATATTACACATCGATCGGCTGTGTTTTTATTTTCTCTGTGGTGTTTTTTGTACTGCGCCTACTTATTCCTCTCCACGTTTATATTGTTGTTTACCAATCGACCGATTTCGTAAAACGTAATTATTTCAACCGTAATCTACAAAACGGCTCTCAGCTGCTGCTGCTACCGCCGTCCCTAGTTAGACCAAACATCATAAAGAAGCCGCCGCATATTGTAATATCGTTTCCGGCTACGCAAACAAGTGCTTAAAAAATGTTATTTTTTCGTTCCGTTGTGTGAGGATTTCTGAACACACGCTATACGCTCGCACGGTTATTGATCGTACTCGATTTATCTCACTTTCACACAGTTTCGAATCATGATGGAATTCTTTGTATTCGAAAAAATTGTAATAATTAGTAGGCGGACGCATTCAATTAACGACTTGGTTGAACATAATTGATATTTATTATTATTTATGAGTATATGACGTTCAATCCAAACTTCGTATACAAATACATACATGACCGTTTTCCGATTAGAAATATACGTTTTTGATTTTCACAAGTCCAACGATTAAAATACATTTAACATCACACCTTGTTTCATTTTCTGAAAAAAAATAAAAATGTACTGTCTTTTCAGCATCACTAATTTTAAATGTTATTCTTATTTTTGGAGCACTTTCAACTTAATTCTTCATTAAACCGTCTGTCGCTAATTTTCTGTTAAAAATAAAATGTATACAAAATATAAAAAAATATTATTATTAATTAATGTGTAGTAAAAACAAACTTTTAACCTCTTAAATCTTAATGTCATGTAAGCCCTTTATTATTCTATGAGGCATGAGCGTTGCAAGCTGTACGTTGACTGTCATGCAATCATTTTGTTGTTTCATCTGTGTTGCAATGATGCATTATTTATCATCTTTTTTCCGTACGCCCGTACGAATAATAATGGAATAATTAAAATAAATAATTATTAATACTTTCTAGTATAAAAAATATAATTAATGATTTAAACATTTTACTCTACACTTCATAATATTTTATAATTATTTTTAAACATATTATTTAAATACAAATTATTATGTATCTTAGTTTGTGTGATTTGTATAACCTACAGATCAACCTTTTGAATTTGTTAGAATTTTTAATTTGGTAATTTTATATCCGGGCTAAAATACACATTACCAATTACCCAAATATTATCAGAATATCAAAAATATATAAATAATATAGTATTTAAAAATAAATTAATGTTGGTTTTAAGAAAATCATATTATTATACTATAAAAAAGACTAGCATGTAGGGAGTTTTGTATTTTTCATTTATTTCATTATAATGTGATATAAATATTAAAAATGTATTTTATTTTTGTTAGTTTTCAATAAACTAATTGAAAAAATCTAATGTGCAGTCGTGCAAACATGACGACATATTTTATATTTTAACTAAGCATACATACATTTTGTTAAGTTAAATTTGAAATATTATTAATTTACCGAAATTGATGATTTTATTTTAAAATTCAAATGAATTATTAAAACTATACAAACACAGACTTATAACAATGTTATAATTTATAATAATAGCAATAAATGTATTAAATATTAAGCTAAAATAACTGATTTGACTTAATACGAGTAGGTCAATTTTGTAAAATAGTTAACATTTAAAAGAAAAAAAACAATAGTGTTATTTTTGGTGACAATCTACTAATAGGTATATAGTATAGTTATATCTTGTAATAATGACTATGTCCCACATGAAAATATTTTACATCAGCGGTTCCCAAACTATTTTTATATTATTTGTTAGAATATTGCTTTGCAATTTTAAATTTTATATAAACTAAAAAATTGTAATGTAAATCGGTTGTATGTCCATAGTGACTATAGTACCTACACATTTATCAATATTATTTTATTCATTCGAGAAAACAAATAAGTCTTAAATTTGTTTTAGAAATATTTTTTAAAATATTAAATCGTTTTATTTTATTTTTATACAAAGTATACTTGTTTTTTGACCATTATTAAATATAAAACGTTGATATTTTTTTTTTTTGTAACATGAAAACTCAAAAAATATTGACGATAAGTGTGTTTGTTTTGTGAGTGCGTTCTTTCCTTATATACACTACACACACATGTGCATTAAATATAATAATATAAGGGTAGGACATATAAGGGTGAGTTAATATCGGCATTGTCTGTAGCTAACGCTGAGAATCCTTGCCCTATCAACAATTTTATCGCCATTCATTGTGCGCAGGTTTCATATACGACGTCATGTATAATATTATAGTGAAGTACATAATAATATTATTTCAACTTCTACCCACATCATGTTAAAAGGACAAACAATTTTTCTCAACAAATATACGAATTGCAGACCCATTACTATTATGTACACATGATATAATTCAGATAGTGGTATGTTAAGTGTAGAACGTGAGTGACTGCTGATGCCACCAAGTTAAGGACTGTATATATAGTTAAGGTGGGCGACCGTATGTTTCGTTTTTAAATTCCATTTAAAGCAATTTTTCAAAAATGCGTTGGGTATAGTAATATTTATGAGCGAATTTAATTTTTAATGAATTAATTAGATAGATATACATACTACACATTCAAACGTGACGTTTTTACAGTTACTGCAATTTCATTTTCAAAATAATACTTAACATAAAATTATGATTAATTATTCGAGCCTATAATAGGCACAGAAATGTACCTATATTTTATTTTGTGCTATAGGTAATTAAATTATATAGTAATTTTCAACAGGATAGTCGATTTGCACTTTTTACTTAGATTAAATAATCGAATTGTACTTAGGTTAAAAAAATAATTGTTGATCTGAACTCTGGTAAAAAATAGATAATGATTGAACTAAAATCGGATTAAAAGTAGATGTTCAAAAAATAATGTATTATTATAAGCTTATATTGTTTAATGAAATTATTTTTTGTAGAAATTATAAGAAAGTGAGTTATGATATAAGATATATGTATATAATATATATATATATATATATATTGTCATTTATTTTTTGTTGTACAATCTGTGAAATATTTGTACAATAAGTACAAGGTGATAATAGTAGTTAACAATATTTACAAATAAATATTTAACGAGACAGTAGTCGTGATCAAAGAAGCCAAACGGTGTTGGAACTTCAGGGTGAGATTTGGTGATAGTTAGCTAACTAACAGGTCTCGGCCCCACGTTCTTTTTAGGCGCCTGCTGGGGTCTCCAGGTATGGTGAGGATGGAGAGTTCAGCTATTAGTGGATTTCTGTGATTGTGTTTACTGGAATGGAGACGTTTATAGAATAATTTGGCAGTGTTTAGAATATGTAGGTATATATTATTATATATAGAATTGTACTGTCTAAAAGAAATGTGTTAAAAAAATGGCTAATGTTTGGTTTTTCTTATAATACATAATCTACAATAAACCAGATACTATAACGAAATAAATTATATTTTATATAGGTATAAAAATTAATTTTTAATCACGTCAATGTTTAAAATCATTGTCAACCTATGCTTGAAAGTGGGAAGAGAAAAATGAGTGTCTTCAAAATTTTTGTTGAAGTTTTTTGAACCAGAGTGCAATTAAACCATTAATTTTTCTTTAACCAAAGTGCAATTTAACTAAAATGAGTGCAATTTGAATAATTCGACTTTACTATTTTTAATGAACAATGGCTAAAGAATATTCAGAATATTCTGTGGAAATAGTTGAAATATATTTCAAAACAAATGGTTATATGATAGGTACCTATTATTATTGTATACCTGCAGAGCATTTTAGACTTCATATAAAGGATAATTCTAGTAAATTTGTTTCTTTTTTCCGGTAAATTTGCTTCTTATGCCGTATATATTTAATTCTCTTTAATCATATAATATAATAAACACGCATTAACCCATACATTATTGTATATATTAATATATTGTTTGGTTGTTTGACGTCGGTCAGCGGCTGAACGAACTTCAGCACTTTAGATAACATACAATGTAACCTATAACTATAATACTAAAATGTGATGACTGTAATTTCAATACGGTAATAAGTATATACTTAATTAAAACATTATTCGTTTAAACAGCAAATTATCGAGTTAAATAGGTTTTCAGTTAGATTGACGCTTCGTCGAACGATTACAATAATTGGAAACAATTATCAAACACTGAGAAACGTAGTGTTATATGTGGAATTTAATCTAACAGGACATCAAACAGTTTCTTTTAAGACAAGTTTCGGCTGTAAAATAACATTTCCAAAATATTAATTAATTATTAAATAATAAATTATTTATAATATTT